AGGCCAAGTGACTTCCCGGGAATATAGCCATAATTCCTGGGACTGTCCTCCTATGCAACAGAGACTGGGAACTGTGGCTTAGATAAGGGCATTACTGGTTAAACTGTTTTGTGCTATATCTCAGTTTAGCTGATGCCAGCTGGTTTACATTTAGGTTTGCCTGCTGCAACGCACGCAACAGCTCTGCTAAAACATGGCAAGTCAGCAAAAGTATCAACAACATCCACACACACTGTGAGACTCAGAGGCCTCTGCACTGGACCTATAAAATCAAGCTGGTTGCTGTGGTGGGAAAAAAATGGGATTTATTTTTTTCCTAACTTTCTGGGAAGACAAAATTATTGCTATATTAGGGGTTCCACCTGATTTCCATATCTCCACATCCATGTTCTTGCACACAAATCAGGTCCTTCCAACGTCTGCTATTTAAATTGGGCATTGAGGCCTCTTTGGAAATTTGGCCCTATATTTTAAGTTTTTCCTGTATTTAAACTCATCTGCAAGGATCATGGGAGTTGGCCATGACACAGCCAATGTTCTCTCTAACCCAGTGGCTCTCAAAGGGTGGTCCTCAGACCACTCATGGTCCGCAACCATCTTGTAGGTGGGCCGTGGGATCGGGGTTAGCTGCCCCCTCCTCCCACAGTAGGGAACCTGGGCTGGTGCTCCAAGCCCATGGGCTTCCCCCACCCCGTGAAGTCAGAGTGCCAGTGCCAGCTTCCTGCTGTGGGGGAGAAGAGCCTCACAGGCTGGATCCAGCTTGCAGGGGAAGGATCAGCTCTGTGTGCTATCGCTCCTCCTTCCCCCAGCTGGGGCAATCTGCTCACCTGGAAGCTTTCCCTGCTGCTCCCATTGGCCAGAACCATGGTCAATGGGAGCAACAGTGGGCAGTGCCTGAGAGCAGCTGGAGGTAGGGAGCAGGTAAGCGCTCCCCATCCACCACATGCCCAGACCCCACACCTCCATCTCCCTCCTACCCCCCCTCCCACCGATACCCCCGTACTCCATCCCACTCTTGCACCCTCTCTCCCACCCAGACCCTCACTCTCAGCCTGCTCCTGCACCCAACCTCTTGGCAAGACCCCACTCACCCATCCCCTCCTGCATCCTACCTCCTGACCAGACCCTACATGCCCACCCCCTCCTACACCTATTTTGTCATCATGAGTGGTTGGCTGGTGGTCTGCAGAAAGGTCTGCATTGAGCAGGGTGGGCTATGGGCCAAAATGTTTGAGGACCACTGCTCTCATCTTTTCCATGCCTGGGTGGATTTCTGCCCCCTGCACTCTGTCTTCCTGCTCCTATAGAAGCTTTGCTTTTAACTCAGATTAGCAGCTCCAAAAGCCTATTAGGCAGTCTCAAGTTGAATGTGAGCTGCTAACCAGCTGAGTGATGGTATGGTTTTAACCCAGGTTAAAGAACACCCTTCTTCTTGCAGTGTAAACATACCCTGAATTAGATTTAATTTTTTTCCTGAAACTACTAATTGAACGTGCTTAACCTGCAAAGGGACATCACTGCTGCATTTGTGTAATGCCAGTAGCTACTGCTCTCGACTCCCGGTTTCATAAGGTGCAGAGAAAGCACTTCTACTAGTATGCATTTCAGAAAATGAGTGAAAACAATGTAAAAAGAAACATTAACTCCCAAACCCCTTAACAAACACATGTTCCCTGCAAAACAAAACAATTTCCGGAAATGCGTCTGTTACCCTGTCGCTGGGTAAGCACTTTTCCCTTCTCCCCCATACTGTATTGTATGTTGAACAGCTGTGACATCCAGTGGCCAAATACAATACAGTTTAGTTTTGTATAGAGTCCTTCATGCACAGTAACAATACATAGCCCTTATATAGCACTTTTCAGCTTCAAAGAGCTCTATAAACAGTAACTAATTAATCCCTGCCCTATGGGCTAGAGGACAGTGATCTACCTAATTGTACAGATGAGATGAGGAAACATCACATTTGAGGCCCTAAACAAATTGTGGTGATAAATAATTATAAAATCTCAGAGGGGTTGACATTAGGGATGTTAAACGGTTAACTGGTAAGCCTGCCAGTAAGCATGAGGCTTACCGGTATGTTTACTGGTTAAACGATTAACCGACCCTTGGCAGCAATCTCTGACAGTGGCCAGACATTGTAGGCCGAAGCAACAAGACCCCACAATTAGAGCTGTGGTGGGCCTAGGCAGCAGGAACTGAGTCTAAATGATTAACCATTTAAGTGCTCTCATTTATCTGGGTAACTGTTTTAACTTCCCTCGTTCTCATTTGCTGGCTCTGGAGAGAGAAGTGGATAGGGACAGTACCTAGCTCTGAAAGAAAGAGGTTGCAGATGAGGAGTGACCGGTTCAAGGATAAAGAGTTCAAGAGCCAGGCCAAACTAAATGCCACCTTCCACAGTGATGTTCTGAAGGTGCGGATGGGACTGACTAGCAGCCATGGAAGTTTTGGGAGGCACAGAAAGTTCAGCATTTGAGCAAACTGGGGCTGGATTCGAGGGCATGGTGTTGGAGTGAAAGATACAGGACAAAAAGGCCTCGAGGTGTTTAGCAGTAGGAAGCACAGCGTAACCAGGAACTGGCATGCAAGACAGACAGACATGGAGAATGGAAAGTCAGGGAGAAAAGGAGGATGGAAAGCCTCCACTCAGGGCCGCATTATGACTTTCGTGGGCCCTAGGCACTTTTGCCTTGGTGGACCCCTCCCACCATAATAATAATCAATATTAAAAATATCAATATTAAAAATTATTTTTCATATAACTTTATATTTTATATTTTTTTCTGTTTTAGGCAAAATTTAATAGATTTTTGTGGGCCCTAAAAGTTTCATTTTTTTCTGATGTGAGAAAAAAATTAAAACATTTTCTTCGACCCTAAAAGTTCATTTTTTTTCTTCTGATTTTAAAAGAAATTAAAACATTTTCGTGGGCCCCTAAAAGTATCGTGGGCCCTAGGCACTGTGCCTAATGGATAAGTCGGCCCTGCCTCCACTAGAGACTTAGACAGAGGAGCTGACAGCCTCTGTAGGCCCCTGAGCAAGGCAGGGTGGGGGAGCTCCACACTCCTGGAAAGGACGGGGCTTCAGGTAGAAGGGGCAGGGCCACAGGCAGCCAGCCCCTCTGGCCCCTGCCACTTCTGCAGTAGCAGTGGCGGCAGCTGGAAGCTCTGGGGCAACTACCCCCTTTGCCTCCCTGCTCCCACCTCATTGTCAGGGCTGCACTTAGGTGCAGTATTAGTCTGTGGATCAAATGCATGCAGCTTCAGGGTTTACTCCTGTTGTTCATCTTGCTTCAGATCCAAATTCATTAACTAAATCAGGGGTTCCCAACCTTTTTCGGTCCCTGTACCCTCTTGACTTTTAGTAAACCTTCCCATACCCCCTATTCAATATGAAAGGAAATAAATTCTAGACTCTAGAATCCACGACTTTTTTTCACTAACACTACTACTTTTGGAATATTTCAATTAGGATAATCTAATTATTTACCAAATATTTTCCGTACCCCCTTGACAAGCTTCTCATACCCCCTGGGGGTAATGCGTACCCCAGGTTGGGAACCCCATAACTAAATGAATGGATTAGCATGTCCTTGCTACATTCCACAGAGTTGTATTCAGAAAGCCTCTGAAAATTTAACCTCAAGAAAGAGAAACTGACAGTAAAACAATACTGGAATGGCTTGCCTGGTCCAAAAGGATGGTTAAAGTGGATGGCAGATCCATGCACATCCAGCTCGCCTTGTTGAATCCAGCCTAGGTAGGTAGTGGTAAAAACTGTTATGATGAGCATGCAGTCTGGAGACGTGTGATTGCAGCACATGATGTCACACCAAAGCTCGCTTGGATCTAGCTAGCTCCCGTAACGATTTCTCTTCTGATATTTGAAAATAGACGTGTGTGTCCCTCCCTTTCTCAGTTTTTGGTAACAAGGACTAATGACTGACTTGCGTTAATCTTATGTTTTAAATAAGGTACATTCACAATATTCTCATGGTACTTAAGTACACAACAGTGCATTTACATATATGGACATGTAGCCTGGTGCCTGATGCACTGCATATAACTTATGCATGAATGTGCACAAACCAGACTGTCACCCACTAAATGTCAGCAGTAATCTGAATACCTATCACAATTTAAAGTACCAGTTAAACCATGTATCTGATTGAATAAACCCCTTGAGAACCTCTTAGATGGGGAAGCTAATCCACACAATCTCTGGCCTGGTTATCGAGATCCATAAGCTCTTTGGCCCATCCCAGCTGGTTCGATAATGAATTATGGGGAAGAATGATTTCCACACCAAGAACAAAATCAAAAGCCCATTTAATTTAAGTCAGGATAAGACCCCAAGTCGATGTGCATGATTCTCAGTCAGATCAGATGGCAGATTAAGGTCACTGCAGTCACACAAGATTTATAAGTATGTTTTTTGGAAGCAGATTCTGGCCTACTATGCACATGGGTCTTTAGCGCACACCCACATATAACCTGCAGACTATCTAGGTATTTATGTCAGCTCATGATCTAGGTACCTGAATACCTGCATTGCATCTACAAGGATCAAATTTTGTATAGGCCCTTCAACTACAACCGTGCTAATTATGCCACAGGTAGTTGGATAAGTGGGGTGCTATGGGTCTGCAATTGCACAGTGAGTTTCAGTCTAGCTAGCATTTAGGTGCTGGAGGCTTTTGGAAGCATGCACTGTACCCTCACTTGTCTGTCATTAGCAAGTCTGGATGAGGGATTGGATAGGTTAAGGAAAAAGTGGGAGACACAGATAATAATTTCAAAATAACCCATCATGCCAAGTCATTTCATTATTCCAGTACATTAAAACCTATGTCTCAATGACTGCAAAAAGCATGACAACCAAGATAAACAGATGCAGCCCCAAGAGTCAGGCAGGCCACTGTGAATAAATGGAAGAAAAACTTGCAGATATTAATGTCACGTTTTAAAAAGAAGCCCACAAACATGCAACGTTACCTTTCTAAAGTCCGTCCCTTAAATATCTCAGCCTGCAAAGCTGTCAGAGGGAGGAAATCACAACATTGACATGTTGACTGCTGCTTCCATTACAGCATCTCTCTGGACCCTCGCCACACAGAGTGCTGCGTTAGGCCACAGGATCCGGAAGCCTTGATTACAAGGACCCTTGGTCCTGGAAAGGAATCCTCAGCTGGAAGGCCACTGTTCTGCTTTCAGTGGGAACTGCTCGACAAAATGCAAGGTGTCAGGCACTCACAGAGATTGGCTGGATATGGTGGATGCGGATGATATGTAAGCAGTAAGAGTCATTCACGCTCCTCAGGTGCGGTGCGTTGTGAGGTCCTAAGGGAATTCCACACTCCTGCAGCACTCTGGATGTGCATACAAACTGCTGTATGCCCACACCCTGGAATGTAGGCTGGGTTTTATGCCATGGCCATTATGAATTGGCTAACAAGTCCTGATTTGTGCAGGTTCTTGTCTTGTGCTTACATGCCTTGGAATTCCAGTCAACAGATAATCTCAGCCAGGTGTTTCATGGCAGAGTTGTAGTTCTTAACCCTTCTGCTGAAAAATTTCAAACAGGCGTGGAAGCAGGATTACCCCCTCGGATAATACAGGTCTCAGAGGGGTGGCCGTGTTAGTCCGTATCTGCAAAATCAACGAGGAATCAACATGGTGTGTATTTTAACCAGCCCCTTCAAAATAAAAAATAATTTTGCCTACATCTGGGAATAAAAATGCCAATTTTTAAAAAGCGACAGAGACTCAGAACACTGCAGTCCTTTTTCTAAGGCATACAGGATGCCAAGACATCATAGCCCCAATGTTCGGCTGTTTTAAGCTGGGTCAAGTGCAAGGTTTGTGGTCCTTGCTTTCAAAGCCTTCAGGAGCCTGGGATTGGCCCTTAGGGACCACCATGACCATATCCTCCCCTGAGAGCAGCTTCTCATTCTTGATCTTGGGAACTCAGGAGATAGAGGGGAGTGCGACTTTGTTACATTTGGTACCAGAAGTGGGGACTTTTTGGACGGCCCCTGCAAACAAGGGATCAGGGAGGAGCTGACAGGTGCACTAGACCAGCAGCAGCAGGCTGCAGGATCCGTCGAGCTTCCGCAAACTGCCCAGCAATGGCCCAATGACACCAGGGAGGAACTTCAACAGCAGCAACTCCAGGATCACCAGTCCCAGACTTGGCAGGGAGCTTGGCAGCTACAAAGGCATCCACCCAATTGCCACAAAGGAAGGCGTCAGGAGACCCTAGCATGGAGCTGTAGGTACTATGGGCACAGGGGGAAGGTAAGATGGGTTTACCATGACACAAGCCACGTCTGTATGGCCAGACCAGTAGTCTTAAGTTCTACCAAGACCAGTGAAGGCCAGGCTGACCAAGATATCTGGCCACGAAGAACTGAGGCTCTGGCTACAGAGCATGCAGAACAAGAGAACTGTTGGGACTCAATTTAGGGCCTGGAAGGGACAATTTGTTTCCATTGCAGGGAAATGGGCCTCATAAGAAGACATTGCCTCTATAAAAACTGTAATTTGGGAAGGCAGGATTGGTACTATTGTGGACCAAGGCCTCCTTGTAATTGGCAAACCTGGGCTAGAGAAGGAAGCAGTCCATGCAGTAGAAATGCAAGGACCAGTTTTCAATCTCTATCTTGAGGGAGGAGAACAAGGTGAATGTACCTATGGTGTTGCAGGAACTGAGGCAGGACTCTGGGTTGGGCACCAGGCACCCCATACAACCTGCAGAATCAGATGCTCACTCTCTGGGGTGAATCATATAACAGGATGAAGGCTTGGGAGACTCACATTCAGGGAACAGAGTGGACACATTTAAAGGCAGTGAAAGAGCTGGCTGAAAAAATGGCACAGACCAACCTGGAAACTGCCAATCTTGAGAAAGTGAAGCTGGTCCCAACCACTGAAAGTAAAGAGGTGTCCAAGAATAGCAAACCACATCCACCTTGTGAGCAAGACCCTGGGAATACAAGGAAGAGTGGGCAGAAACCTTGTGAAGGAGGCAAGCCAAACCGAGATCTGGTGGAAAAAATCTTTAGCCTAAAAGACAGGCAGAAGGGGGAGTTGGAGTATCTCCTTATCCTGGAGAAGAAATGCTCTGCCTGCTGTAGAGACCAGTGGGCCTGTTCTGAAATAGAGGTATAGGAGCAGGAGAGAGAACCCCTCTCTTTGAGCAGAGCACTGAAAGGCAACAACAGAAACTGGATCTAGAAATGGTCCAGCCGCCTTAGAGAAGCAGCTAACCAGACAGAGAAAGGAGCTAGAGATTGAGACCCAAAAAAAGTGGTCCCCACCTATGTAAGTGGGCAGGACCGAGGGGTGTCTGGAAAATCATGATAAGGTGATAAGCACACAGAGAGAAAGTGCCAGAAGGCTTGTGTGGATACCAGTGGGCTGGCTGATGGGCTAGGCACCCCGAAAGACCTACCAAAAGGATCAGATGGCAGTCTAATAAAGAAGCAAGTGTCCTGTGGCACAAACACAAAGATCTCATGTACAACAGAGGCTGCAGTAATGGCTGTAGCCCCCTCAGCTACACAGGACACGTCTACAATAAGAGACTGGGGTGAGCTGGAAGAGAAGGCTGCTAGAGCTGATCATAACCCCACTGAGATCCTGGAACTACAGACCCAGGTTGCTCAATACCAACAAGAGCTCAAAGAGATTTGCTCTTCATGGGACAGAATCATTGGGCAAGCGATAAAATGGGAGCAAGAGCTGGCCCACCTCAGAGCGGAGAAGGGGGTGAGAGAACAGCAATCCCTTCTGCTGCCAAAGAAGCCGACTAGGCTCCAGAACCTGCTCAGGGTCCAGCCAGGAGCAAGGCCGCTACAGACAGAAGATAATGTGGACAAGGACATGCATCTACTTGCTGAAGCAGGGAGCTCCCCACTGTGGCTCTAAATCCCTAGAACCTAGATGCAGTAATTGAGCCAGGTTACCAGTAGACCCCTGCTAAAAAGGAGAGCTCTTTTCAGAGGAAAAAGAAGCCAAACTGGTCTGAACATGCTAAATGTCATCCACAGCATAGTATGGGTGCAGAAAACAGAAGTGGGTGTTGCTAAGCCAGGGATTGAAAGCAGTGGGCAAAACCATACACTCCCTGGTCTTTGGCATTCTGAGAAGGGATCTGAACCTAGACAGAGAGATTCTTAATGCTGAAGGATGTATATGTAGTTGCATTCAAAAGGACTCCTCTCCAGCTCAGGAGACCACAGTAAAAGACTATTTCTGGGGAAATCCCAGTTCTGTTAACCAGCCTAATGGCATTAAAAGGCTTACACAATCTGAATGCCTCACTGTGGTAAATTATAACATGCTACTGACTAAGGAGGGGCATGGAGGAGGGGAGGGGGATTGGGTCAGAGTGCAGGGCTGGCGGTGCTTGGCTCTGGGGGAGAGGGGGGAATTGGGTTAGAGCAGGGGGCTAAAGGTGCCTGGCTCTGGGGGAAGGATGGGGCATTGGGTTAGAGCAGGTGGAGGAGGGGCAGAAGCACCTTAAATTCAACGTCTTCATGGATGCAGAATAAGGCAGCCAACACAGATGTCATATTTAAATTCCAGGGCAAAAAAAGAATCAGCATGTACCTGGTTTACAGTGTGTTCCTTTAAAGAAAAGCGATTGCTAAACTCTCCCTAGGTAAAACAAGCCTGGGAGGAGAAATTTGACTGAAAGGGGTGAAGATTTTTAAAGCTCTTTAGGCAGATAAGCTGGGAGAGAGACCTGATCAAATTGGGTGAGAGACTTCCAGACCTCTCCAGGTAGAGAGACCTAGCAGAGAAACCCTGAGAAACTGGCAACTGGCAAGGACAACTAAAACTCCCTAAGTTAAACCAGAAGGGAGAATCCTGACAAACAAGGACATATACACTATATTGGGGAGATACCTAAATCTTGTTTGAGCAGGGAGGTGTATGACAAGGTGGATTAAGCCCCGAGGCCCCCTACTGGAGGCCTTGTGGTCCTGGCACGCCCTACCCCAGAAAAAGGGCAATAGAGAGGTCCTCCAAGCAGGCTAGAGTGGCTGCAGGGGGAAAGCAGCCAATTGGGGACCAGGAAGACCATATTAAAGGCGCTGCAGGCCAGCGCAACAGTTAGTTACTGTGTAGAGCTCAAGGACTGAGGACTAGGTGGCTGGCTGACTGGAAAAGTAGCAGTGCTACCAACAGCTCAGTGTGGAGAGCTCACAGCAAACAAGACAGAGCCCTGAGGTAAGGGCAAACTTGATACAGGGCCATGGGGAAGCAGCTCAGGGAATTAGAGCAGCAGAACAGACATAGCAGACAGCTGCTATCTACAGGGTTCCTGGGCTGGGACCCAGGGTAGAGAGCAGGACTGGGTCCCTCCCAACTTCCCATTAGCCACTGGGGAAAGTTCTCTGCTGAGTATGGGTTAAAGAGCTTGAGGTAACCCCACAAGAAGAAATTCCCAGTGCATTTTCCTGGGTTTAAAAAGGGGGGAGGGGGGATAGTGTATCATCGAAGGTTAAGGAATCTGTGGCCTTGGGGAGGTTTTTAAACAGAAGCCTCTAGAGCAGGCATGTCCAAAGTCCGGCCCGCGGGCCAATTGCGGCCCGTGGTCGGATTTAATACGGCCCCCGCTTCTCCCGGCTCCCCGGTGCTCTTTTTAACTGGCGCGCGCAGCGCAGCGCGCCGCTTTGGGCCGCGCTGCCGCCGCCGCCGCAGTCCTAGACCCTGCCCTGTAGGGCACGTCCGCAGCCCTGCTCCCCCGCTTGGCTGCGGGTTCGCCCTGCCCCCGGGCCGCCGTGAGGCCAGCGTGCCCTGCGCTCTCCGACCCCGCGAGCCCTCCGCTTTGGGGCTGAGAGTGCGGGGACAGCCCCCGCTTCCTCCCCCTCTCCTGGCTCCCTGGCGCTCCTCTGAATTGGCGCGCATAGCGCGCCGCTTTCGGCCGCGCCACCGCCGTCTATGGCGGGCGCTGCGGGTCCCAAGGCTGCCCTCTAGGTGGGGTGTGATGAATTGACAGTCTGGGTAGGCAAGGATGGACATGGTGGGCACACAGTGGTAGGAGTTGGTTTCAAGTGTTTAAAACAGGCGTGTCCAAAGTCCGGCCCGTGTTCCGGTTTAATATGGCCCCACGGGTAATTTGGCAATATCTATCTTTTATGGCCCCCAATGAATCCATATGTATTGAGATGAATACATTGTAAAATCTCAGTTAAAGTCAGTTGGTCTAAATCAGTTATAAATATATTTGGACACAACATGTATACTTGGTGTTATGTTCCTGTTCATATTTTTTGAACTTAAAAGTTGACAGACAACCTTTATTACCAATAATATGTAATGTACTTTACAATGTTCCTGACATATATTTCAGCTTCCTGGATTTTTTTTTTCATCTGGCCTTCAGATATG